TCAAACGATGAAAACCAAGAGGAAAAAAATATACATAAACAGATTCAAAGCATATTCAGATACTGGAGTCATCAGACACAGTCTTTCAATCAGAGGTCATGACTCCCTGTATTTATTAAGATTAGGTTTGGCTGAATATTATAAAACCCCCAAATAACAATAATTTAAACATGAGAACGTCTTTATTTCTCACCTAAAAGAAAAGGTGACACACAGGTTTGGTGGCTCTTCTGTCTCCTCTGTCATTTTCAGTTTTGGTTTTCATCATCAAGGTGACTTTGTAAGTCCAAAAGGGTTGCTGGAACTCCAACCATGACGTCCAAGTTGCAAATCAAAAGAAGACAAAATGAGTAAGGGGAGACGGGATCTCACCTGGCTAACTCATCACCTTTTTGGCAGCCTTCCTAAAAGTTCTACACAATACTCTGCTTATTTTCTTCCTGTCAAAATTTATTCATGTGGCTGCCCCCCACTGCATAGGAAGCTGAGGAATATTGTCTTTTGGTTTGGAAATTAATAGGCCAAGCTAAACAGCATAGTTCTGTAAAAAAGAAAGAAGAAAGGGGAGAATAAATATCGCAGTAGGTAACTAACCATCTCTGTTTTACGTTCCTACTTAAGGACCTTGAACAACTCCCCACTGCCAGGCACATAAAGACCCTCACAGTTTGGCCCCTACCTCTCTCTCCAGTTCTGTCTCCTGTCCCCTCTCCAGACACTCCATACTCTCACCACCTCTAGTCGCCGCCACCTCTACGATGCCCAGATGCAAGCCGTCATGCCCTTGCTCCTGCTTCCTCTTTGGCCCGGCATGCCCTTTCTCTGACAGGTCTGGCTCATTTTCAAAGCTTAATTCAAAGGTCATCTCTCTTGTGTCAACTTTTCCAGCTCTCCTCCTCTGAATCGAAATCTGTCTCTTGGTTCCGGTAGACCTTAGTGGATACCCCACATTACTGCGTTTGCCTTGGATTGTAATGATTGCTTTTCACGTCTTCTCTCTTTTTAAAATCTGAGCTTCTCTGACTCAGAAACACAACTTACTCTTTATTTTGATTCCTCTAGTGTTTGTCAGGTGGTCTGTGCTCTGTCAAGTTTTGCTGAATTGATAAAAGAGTAAAGGATCAAGTTAGTTAATAAATCTCCAAAGCTATCCCTCTCTAGCATATCTAACTCCAGAAAACTCAGCCTTCGTATAAGATGGAGGTGAACTTACAAGTTCCTTTTGTCATGCCCAAACTGTGTGGTATGGTGCATTGTATGAAATAGACATGCCAAGCTGAAATATTATTTGACACGGTGGTAAAAAAATCAACACAATTATAATTAGCAGTAACAAGGAATTACATTTTATTCATCAGGGTTAGATCAAACATCATCTTTGTGCTCAGCACCGTGAAATACACTGTGTGAAATCCCCATCACTCTCCCTTCACACCCACCCCTCCTCCCTGACAGACAACCCCACTCACCAAATAAACTTCACAGTTACTGTCTTCTAGGATTGTGAGATCCTGTAAAAATAGAACATGGAGCCCTAGAACAGTTAGGTGACAATTAGGTTATAATGTGTCATAATAAATGGTACCTGTTCACTATCAAATGATATCCATTACTATAAATATTTAGAGAAGGGAGGGAAAGATATAAGCAGGAGTGGCAAGAAGAGCCTTTGAACTGGTCTTTAAAAGCACAGCAGGACTGAGCAAAATAGTGACAATCAAAGCATGAAATACAGGCCACGGGTGGGAGGAGAAATGATTTTAGGGAGACACAGGCCCGAGACTGAATAGCATTAAATTGCATAGCAAGATGATCTCCTGTTTCATTCCCTTCGGCTTTTTAAGTTTACCTTAAGGAGAATTTCCATTGGCACATTTTTAATAGATAGTAACATTCCTTTTAATAAACATGGGATAAGTCTCAAGCCTTGATCCTGGTAGACGACAATATTTAGCTAAAATTTAATGGCACTGTTTTGCTTTTTATTGTATTCATTTGTATAGGCATTTTCCATTTATGTTACCTGATGATGGTTTTCCATCATGTATTTTTACTTTTAAAATCAATTAAGAGGGGAGGGTATAGCTCAAGTGGTAGAGAGCTTGCTTAGTATGCACGAGGTCCTGGGTTCAATCCCCAGTACCTCTTCTAAAAATAAATAAATAAACCAAATACCTCCCCCTCTAAAAATCAATTAAAAATAAAATAAAATAAAATAAATATAAGTGTAAAGGAAGAGTCGATTTAAAGAAAACTAGTAAGTAAATAATAGTACAGATGGTATGTGGCTATGAGGGAAAAATGGGGAAAATGTACTTAAAGGACTGAAGTTTGGGAAATATGATGACAGTAGAAGTAAAGAAGAGAGGCTTTCCCTATTGTGATGAAAGCTGTGCAGGCAGAAGGCTGGGGGAAGCAGGGGAGAACCCGGAGGGGGATGGAGAGCCGGGGGGCAGGGTGCAGGCTGGAATGGGGAGAACTTTCCCACCAGGCTGACATCTCCTCCCATCAGTAGAGGAGATATTGTGCCTCTCATTGTGTTCCAGTGTCAGTCCTGGTCCACGTCCCTCAACCCGTGCCTGTGTCAGGGCGCGCTGAGGACAGCACGCGTATGTGGGGAGCAGGCACCACGGAGAGGCCCAGCTGGAGGAAAGAGAGAGAACCAGCAGCACTCACAGAAGAGCAACACTTTTCAGTACTCAGCCCAGAACCTGCCACCACAAGTCAGAGCCACAGCCCCTGGTGCCCAGCGTTGTGTCTCCCAGTTACCCGCGAAGGGCCATGTCACTGGGGACACGGGACTGTGTCGCTCCCACCTGGTATCTGCCCTGGGCCCAGCCTGGAGTGTCCAGCAGAGTTGGTTCACGCATCTTCACTCAGAGACCTGGTCCTCCACCCCTACCCTTTATTTCCTGTCCTCATTTCTGCCCTCTGATTTCATAGGACTGTATTCCTGCTCTTTCCCTCTCTTCTGCTCTGAGGACAGGAAATCTAAAGCAGCCCTCAATGTCCCACAGATGAGAAAAGCGATAAAGGTGGGGAGAAAAGGGATGGAGACTGTGTTCTGAATAAGCAATCGACCTGGCATCTGCAAGCTCCGCTGAGTCTCTGGCTGATCTGACCCAAGGTGCCAAATGAAGTAATGCTGAGTGGAGGCTCCACTTCTCAGCATCTGATGCCATCAATCTAGACCTGGCTGGCAGCACCGACTTCCCTTGAAAAACATTTTAAAAAGAAAAGGTCAGAACCATTTGTTTCTGCATGTGAATGACTTCAGAAAGCCCTGGTTTCTTGCCCTTGGAAGACTGAGCACGAACCCAGATGGCTGCTTCCAACCTTCCAGAACAAGCTTTCTGGGCAAAGTGAGACTTTCCAAGGCAAATCCCCCCATCTGAGCCCATCCGTTAGCAGTCAGTCCCCTGCGTCACCTGCATCTAGTCACAGAGCAGAGCAACGTGTGATGGCATGAGGTTTGGAGTTGGATTGTTGAGGTTTGAATCCTAATCTTTTTACTTACAAGCTGTGTGATGTTGGGCTTATTACTTAATGTCCCTGAACCTTTCTAATATGTAAAATAGGTAAAGTGAATAAGAATAAGCACTGTCTCATAGGATTCTTGTGAAAATCAATTGGAATAATAAATGTAGAATGGTTACTATATTGCCTGACATACAGTAATACGGTGGTTAATAAAAGTTGGTCATAATGACAGTAATAGGTAAAATAGTCCTGAAGTCATCTGAAGACTTGACTGCATGGGACTATTCAAAGTGGCTTCTTTACTTGCATGTTTTGTCCTCAGCTGGGATGGCTTGACCATCTGGGGGCTGGCTGGGCATCTCTCTCTCCATGTAGCCTCTTCAAGTGGGCAGCTTGGGCTTCCTCACAGCATGGCAGGCTCAGAGAAGTCAGACTTCTTACATGGCAGCTGGTTTCTTCCAGAGCAAACATCCTAGGAGATCAAGAAGCTGGAAGTCTTATGACCTAACTTCAGAAATCACGCGGCAGCATCACTTCTCTGCCACACTCATTTGGTTCCACAGGGTCAGCCCTGATTCCGCACAGGAGGCACCTACTCAAGGGTGTCAACCACAGAGAGGGATCACTGGGGCCATCCTTGAGACCAGCTACCACAGTAGCCACCAGCTTCTAATGCAATGTTGAAAAGAGCTCTGGGTTTCAAATTGGAGACTTAGATCCAGCATTTTTAGTCTTCCTTGTTGAAGGGGCCAATCTGAAATGAGGCTGCTGTCACTCCCTATTTTCTGAGCTCTGTGCGTGTGTGTGTGTGTGTGTGTGTGTGGGCTCCAGGAAGTTTACTTTATCTCATCACCTGTCCGGTTCATTTTGGCACTGAATAAACAACGTACAATTCAGAAGAAGAGTTGTTACCTCGTGCTACTATGCCAGAGTCCTTCTGAATGGAACTTCTGCTAACTCAGGGTGAGTTATTTTTAAAAAACTCTTTTAAATGGTTAAGCCAACCGATCTAAGAAATCTCACCAATGCTTTCATATTCTCTTAACCTCCACTTTTTTTGAAACCTACCAGAAAGCAGGACACATACTCACTGGGGATCTTACATGAATTGCCAAGCAGCTGGAAAGAACTCAGGGTGACAAATTACTGACATTGGCTCTTTAGGCTGCACTCAGGGCCCCGGAGAAAGCCACTTAGCCTCTCAGCGGCTACTCTATATGTTCGGTGAGGCTCTGGGCCTCCTGGGGTGGGGAGGGATCAAAGGCCTCAGCAGACGCTCTGCCCAGCCTGGAGCACCATGGGTGGTAGGGAGACTGAGGTGTCAGTCGCACCTGTACCCTCCACATCCAAGCTCTCAACACTCCAGCGAAAGTCTTTACCAAGTCAGAAAGCAGCAAACAGACTTGCTGCTCCTAAAAACCCAGGGACATTTTCCTCTTGCATAGGGAGGGAAATGTCCCATCTACAGACATATAGGATGTTGGTTAAAGGAGGAGATGCCTGAGAATGTGCGTAAACCCAGAAACCCTTTTTAAGGAGGTATCTATGATCCCTGGTCATCCCTCTTTGGGAATATGGCTTCGTGGAATGAGCTCTGACCTGGGAGTTGCTTTGGTTCTGCTTTTACCTGGACGTGAGCTCTCCAGGTGGAGACTTTGTCTCATGGGTTCAGTTCCAGAACATGCTGGTGGAATCCCACATCTTATGCTCAATCCTGTGCTCTGAGCTTCAGGCCCACACATCCCACATCCTACCAGACAGTGTCCTCTGGACATCCCACGAATACCTCCCCTAAAGCATCCAAAGTTCATTGCTCATCCTCTGTAACTCCCGCCTCCTACCCATTTCCCTGGTCCTGGGTAGTGATCTCTATCCATCCAACAACCAAGACAGGAACCCTGAGCTCCATCCATCCCTTCTCACATCTAACCAGTCACTATGCCCTTCAGTTCTGTCTCAGAATTGTCTCTGAATACAATGCTCAGCCTTCATCCTTCCCACTCATCCTGCAGCTGCAGAGTCCAGCCCACACTGCATCTCACCTGGACTATGAGATGGCTTCCAGTGGACCCTCCCTCTCCACCCCCTTACCGCAGACAGACCCAGGCTCCTCCTTCTTGTGACCCAAGTCCAGGTAAGGGAGAAAAACACTGTGAGAGCTACTGATTAGCTGTGTTTCCTGATGTCTGGGGCACATTATTTCCCTACCCTAGGTCCTTTGAGCCTTCATCTACAAAGTAAAGGCATTGGATAAACTAAACTCTTCTAGAAACTCTTGCCTATTCCAAGATTCTGTGATTCTTCTGAGGAAACTTCTGCAGAGGAAAAGCGTATCTGACCATAAGCTTCAGGAAGCCTCCTGCCATCTGAAGGAGGAAAATCACTAATGTCTTCTCAGTGCAAATTAATGTCATTGATCCCAATCCAGTCCAGTTCAGCAGGAAGAAATACATTTGGGAAGAAAAAGAGTGTGCTGGAAATAAAAGGTTGGAAGGATTCCCTTTGGGAACAGCTGATCTTTCAGAGACATGGCAGTGAACACCCAGAGGCCTCTGTAGACATCAAAGAGCTCTACTTTTCGGGGTTAGGTAAGTGGAGTCAACACCCACTCTAAGAATGTGGAGCTGGTCAGGAGCCCCAGGCTGTGGGGTTGCCTCTGCTGTGTGACCTGTGGTAAGTTACTCCACTTGTCTAGTCTGCTTCTCCAACTCTAGTTGCAGTTGATGATCTCTAGGCTGATACTAAGTCATCTCAAAGGAAGTGGGTGAGCCTTACAGGATCTTAGAGTCTGGGTCCATGGTAAGTTAAGGAGGTTCCTGTTTCTCCCAAAGTCTTAGTTAGAATCCAGAAGTTTTAACAAAGAAGAAAAGTGGAGGAAAGGAGCTGTGATGGTTGATTGTATGTGTCTGTAAACTTGGCTAGGCCTTGGTGCCCAAATCTTCAGACATTATTGTGAATGTTTCCTGTGAAGGTGTTTTTTCATTTGTTTATTTCTTTTCTTTTCCTTCTTTCTTTTCCTTCTCTTTCTTTCTTTCTTTCCTCCCTTCCTT